ATATAGTTTATATAGGGAAATAACACTTTTCGGTATATATTTTATCCATTTTCAGCAGAAAATTGCTCAAACTTAGTCAGAATCATCTTGGGTAAATGAGAGTTTTACTTTGTAAAATTAGGATTCCTGCCCCATCCCCAGGGGCTAGGGCGGGGCCCCAAAGGGAACATTTACCAATATTTTCAAATTCTTATCCATTGATGACATGACAAGTATTGTATTTCACTTAGTTTACATGCTGATTTCCACATCACATCTAAACAATAAAATAAAGCTACCAGTATCTATGATATAACTCAGGTGACCGCTAAGGCCCTTGGGCCTCTTGTTTGATTGTAGTTTTATAAGGAGATTGGAAGATTCATGGCTTGGAGACATTTTGCCAGAAAATGGATTGCCACTTTCCATGGGAGAGGAAGTCTGGGATTGGGCCGGGTTGTACCAAGAACGATGGCTGCCCAACCAGACATCATAATTATCCACCTGTGAGCTAATGATGTATCCCCAATTAGACGTCATGGCGACATCGCTGATGATGCTACAAGGGCCATTGTACACGTGGTAGAGTTCTAGGTCTGTCCAACAGGATGTATCGGCGGAGTCGACTTGCCGTGAACAGGATATTAGCTCGGCGTTTGGGAAAGAGGCTGATCTGTATGCCGCATCTGCGTTACCCCCAAGAGTACTCATCATATTTGGTGCATGTATTCTCTTCGAGTATGCAGAGGTACTTCCTCACTCTTCGTGAGGTAGTACTGAGGTCTTAGTCCCTCACTTGGAAAAAAGGCCCTTATCAGGGCCACCAAACCATCCAAATTACTGACCTCGAAAAACGCTATTTTAATGCTTGTGGTAATTCGTTAATTGTTTCCTTTATTATTTGGTCATGTNGAAGAGAGGGGGGGGGGGGGGGGGGGGCAGACACACTGGTTATACAAAATTGGTTCCCCTTCATCCAAGGGTGCTTCATACCAAAGTTTGACAAAATCCTCCCATTGAAGAATTTGCTATATTACCCCTATTAGGCCCCTCCCTTCTGCCCCCAGAGGGGGCCACACTCGCTGTTTATACGAAATAATGTCCCTTTTGCCAAAGGTAGCTCCAGACTAAATAAGGATAATATTCCTTAATCCCTATGGTAAAAGAAGTATTATACAAGTTTTACCTCCATTTCCCCTATTGGGCTCCCCTCATGCAACAAATAACTATAAAAGATCACGAGTTAACAGTATCGTGCCCATGCGTCAGTACATTTCACGACAGTCAGTCTAAATCGGAGTTCCAATCGGTATCCAAGTATCTTTGGATGTCATATTTCAGCCTTGAAATAACAGCCGACTCCACTTGATTTGGTATCAGTATGGACGTGATACCTGCCCTACAGCACACAGAGATGTTAAACTTTTGGCCTTGCAAAGAAATCATGCTGTCCATATATTTCGTATTAATGGCATTAAATTTTTGCACATCTTTTAGGTTTAATTTACACATTTGGTGTGATAGGTTTTTTGGAAATCTGATTTTTAATGGTTTTGCACTATAAATTATTTTCCCAAACGGTATGTCACAGTTTGCGACTTCTTTCTTTTCCTCATTCAGTATGCCAAGGTATAGGTTGCCATCTGCCCATTCGAACATTGCCAGGTACGATGTTGGGTTGTTGAATAGTCTTGCACGTACTGTGGACGTAGCTATAGCTTTGCTGGGACTACTCTGTAATTGAAAAGCAAGAAATTCATTACTTAATCAGGACCATCTCAGAATCATTTTAGACAAGTTTGAGCTAAATTCTACAGACTGACTGGTGAGTAACAATCTATAAAAAGCAGGCCTAGTGGTAAAATCACTACCCCTGATTTTCTTCCCAACCCGCTTACAAATTATCACCATGTTAACGAAAATCTATACCTATTATACATAAGTAATAAAACTAGTCAACCTGAGAGTTCGAACCATTCTAAATTATTCATATTGTATTATAATACTTTGCGTTTCTAAATTGGATACTGAACAGTTAATAAAGTTAAAAAATTTGTCATTTTTAAGTTAAATTAAGTCTTTGATTTTTAAGCACATGGTGATAAAATGATAATAAATATCTGTATCTTGCCTTTATTGATTATCCTTTTTTTTTCCATATGTATGTTTTGATTTTAGTTTATCATGTATTAATTTCATACATAGATAAGACAGATAAAGAATGTAATTTCATTGCATGAAACATATTCACATGCTCATCAACAAACATGTGAAATTTCATGAGAATCCAACTGGTTGTTTCTGAAATTAGCTGCGGAAACGTTATAAAGCATTAAATGGCTTCCAGTCGGCATTACTCAGCAATATGAATGCCAACTGGACAATGGCAAATTCAATGAAGCAGACTAGCAATCAAATACTTGAGAGTATTTACAAATTTAAGAATCACAAAGGCATTTGTACCTTTTATATCCAATTCCGCTAATCTTTTGTTTTTGAACTTTGACATGAGATTCAGATCCTGAACCATGAGAATCTTGCTGATTTGTGTTCTCTCAAGTAACCCCGACATCTGGCGGTAGTGCTCTTTGTTGACTTGCTTAGTGTGTCCCAAATGGTTATACATCCATTCCATCTGGTGTTTATCAAGATTCAGCATCTATGGAAGATAAACCACTATACATATATTTACTGTCATAATATGCATCATGTCACTTACAACTAATGGTGGTTTTCATCAAAGAATATTAATGTCTCAAGCAACAACTAACTAATAAGACTTTTCCACGCTTGAACTTGAACAAACATGCATGCAGCAGAGCAGATCAACAGAGTTGAACTATTGTAATGCTATTTCTAGTTAACTATGTAACTATGTAATAGCTATATAAAAATAAATAGTTTTTCATTTGAAAAACTGTGTTTGGAGGCAATATTGCTGTATGATACTTGCTTCTTGTTGGTACAGCAGTTTTACATCAGAAATGAGTATATATCATACCTGGGGTTAGTGTTGCTGTATATTTCCTCATTGACACTGATGTTATTCTGTGTGGGGCTACAAGATGCAATCTGTTACACACATATTTAAGGGACTCGTAACTTCTTGCATAATAGTTGGCTGGAAAACAAATAAAACGAAAAAGAGTTAGTTTGATTTGTTTCATCCTTATAAAGATGAACAAAGGATATAGGATGTTTTCCCTGTCCTTTCTCCTATTTCATTTATCCATCGTGTGAAACCTGATTGACAGGTATATGATATAAAATGTGAAAAATAATTTGTTGTTCAACCAATCAAAATCGAAAACATATGATAATAGAAATATTTATCTACACTTTATTATACACATATCGGAAAGGTCCATCCTTATCTCTGTATGATGCTTTTGTATTTAATAACAAATTTCGTCAAAATTGTTTTGCAGATAAATGTTTAGACAATTGATAATCATACAGGAAAAATGACATTTATATCGAAGAGGCCAAAAAATGCAAAATATGAAAAACATTTTCTTTTGTAGTTGTTGAAATAGTTTGACCCAATAAAAGCCTTCTTCACTATGAAATGAATATGTGTAAGCTTTTTAACATCTGTCTCTTAAAACTTTATTTTGCATGTACACCAATAATTTTTCAGAGAGGCCAAAATAAAAGAAATGGACAGGGATTATGAAGTTGATGGATGTGAGTGCAGGAAGGAAAATTCTCCGGTCAAATTGAAGAGACCATCTCATAGACGGAAAAAAATGGTGATAGTATCGGAGCCAGAGTCCATTTGCAGCGAAAAGGATGAAGATAGTGATAACTCTACAACAATGCCAAAATCAACAAGTAGAAGAGAAGAAAATCTAGGTTCGAAGGGAAGCGTAAGATAGAGGAAGGGGCTGCAATAGTAAACATGAAAAAGAGAAGAGAATGTATAAATCAGCTAAGTGATGATGAATCCGATGAGGAAAAATGTCCCAGCATAGAAGAAAAGTTAATTATCAGAGATAAAACGCTGAAAGGAATATACATTATAAATTATAGATCAAAGAGGTCGGGGAAAAGAGTTTATGACAATACCCATTCATGTCTGCGGTAGAGTTGTTCTTCATATAAACCAGCATCTGAAGACTCACAGGAATCAACTAAGTTAATTCATTAACTGTCAGATGTAACTGAAACTGGAAACATTGCTGAAGATGAAGAAACACCAGACAATGACAAGGAAATTGAATTGAACGAATCTGGGATTAAAGCTTCAAGTGCATATGCAGAGGTAAAACAGAAGACAATGTGGGACTTCCTGAAACCACAACATTTCAATGATGTCATATTAGCTGCTCTGAAGTGTTCCTTTCTGAATGCTGACGATGTGGAAGATTTGGTTGCACCAAGCGATAGCATCAAATTAAAATATGATATACTAAGATTGGTCAATGGAAAATGGGCGATGGTCGTAAAACAAACAGGAAATGAAAGTCATCAAGAGGCTCAAGATTGTAAGGCATTCATGGGTTTGATGTAAGTGGAATGGAGAGAAAAAGTGACCACAGTAGCTCGTTCTGTTCTTAACCGAAGAAAGTATGACGAAGTCAAGGAACTTCCATCTCGTGAAGATATTAATACCATAACGAGGCACCTTTTTCAGGAATTGCAAGCGGTTCCCATGAAACCAGAAAACTTCGTCAACCTTGTAATAACAGCACAAACCAGATTACTTCTGTACAACAAACGAAGAACTGGAGAACTTGAAGTCATCAAGTAAGTTTTCTGATAGTTATTTTTTTCTCTCCCTCTTTTTTTAATTGTGTTTATTCTATTTTAATGACTATCTTGATTATATTTACAGTCAAACCTATCAGTATTTTAAAGTCTTTTGAATGATTTCCTGTTAAATGTGTCGAATGCTTATAAAATTGTCTCAGTAATTTTTCATGGTTGTGGGTAACTCACTACAATATTGATATATCTGACATTGCCATTGTAATATATGACAGTTTTTTTAAATCAGTTTTTCACAAGGATATTTTACATTTGACACAAATTACATTAAATACAATCACCCGCTCTCACATCCCCACATTCAAAACTCCATATAACATCATATTCTTTATTATCAGTAATACCATCATCATCATCGTCATGATGTCATCACATATTATCTTCATTATCAGTAATATCTCCATTACTATCATCAAAAATATAGTCATATCATCATCATATCTTTAGAACACAACATCTAGCCGCAGGCATTCTCATCTTTTGATGACATGTGAGTACACTCATCATCATCGTCATCTTTTTTGCACAAAAATGGCTGCATGTAAATGTTTAATGTAAATTCCGCACAACAGATTTTATATCACAAAATGGACAAAATAACAGATGTTTGAATAATTTGCTGACATGGATTTCTGAGTTTTGTGAAAAATATATTTGTATATTTTGCACATCTCAGTATAATTTCCATTATAAAAATGACAAAAATTGTAATTTCACAAGATTGTCCTCTGATCCGAAAAACATTCGCCTGACCAAGATGGGCGAAACTCAATGCTTTGTTGGTCTTAGTGGCCTACGTTTTTGAACTTCAAAGGCCTCGAACAGCAATGAGGCCAGAGGGGCAATTCATATTTTATTTGTACTTAAGGTATTAGTTTCATTTCAGGTAGTAAACCACCACGAGGCCTAATTATTGTTTTATACCCAAACACATAAACATTTAACCAACAAATCTGACGCCATATTTTAAATCTGTAATAATCCGACGAGTTTTTTTCACTGTTTATACGCTAATATATATGAGTTAACTAAGCTGAAGTAGGGGGAGATGTTAATATATGAATATAATATAAAGATTTATACCCTTTTTGAAATACAATGAGATGGAAAAAAGAATTAAATATGTATCTTGGCCAGGGCATAAATACCCCTTAAAGTAACCCAAAACATAAAGGTTCTACTCACTGGTGAAACAGATTAAGTTGGGAGGAAGTCGAGCATATTTCAGATTTTAATAGGTCAACGAATTGGTCACACGAGGCTTCGTTTCAGATGACCTAAAGTCTAAAACACAAAACAAAAACTAAACAAACAAGATGAATCAGTACACTAAAGCATTCCAGTCTCGGTGATATTTTGCCTAGGTAATTTGTTGTACAGCAGATAAAAAGGCTGTTTACCCTTGGTCAAAGTGTTATTTTCCCAAAAAATTATCAGAAATATCTTTCCAATGTCTAAGAAAATATTATCTTCCCAAAATATACAGCCAGATGCACTTTTAAAATTTGAGAAGAATAAAATAATGCAGATCTAGACATCATTTAGTTAACTTAATATTTGCGTTATGAAACACAAAATAAAATATTTTGGACAAAAGGATCGTCTCTGTGGTATTTTGTTTATAATATCTGAATAAATATTTCCGATTCCTTGAAGTAAAAGACTGTAAACAGGTGAAAGTTTCAGTTTTTTCCACGTATATAAAACTGTTAATTTCATCCTTGCGTTAAAACTGTTAATTTCATCCTTGCGTTAGAATCGCCTAAAAAAACATAAAATGAGACATGTATCTCAACTTAAACATAACATGACATAATTAACTTCTGCTGGGTGTTTTAAAACATGCGTTTGTTACATACTCGATCGATATATGTCAAAATCAATCTTGAAACTGTGCCGTGTTTGTAATTTACTTCGGCCTGGCGTTTTGAAAATACGTGTTTGTTACATACTCAAACTGTGCCGTGTTTGTAATTTACTTCAAACTGGTGTTTTGAAATACATGTTTTAAACACTCGATTAATGTCAGAATAAAACTGTGCCGTTTTTATTATTAACATCGAACCGGTGTTTTGAAATATGTGTTTGTTACATACGTGTTTAATTTGTTCCATACTCGAACTATGCCGTTTTGGTAATTTACTTGGACCGGGTGTTTTAAAATACAGTACGTGTTTGTTACATACCCGAACTGTGCCGTGTTGGTAATTTACTTCGACCGAGTGTTTTAAAATACAGTACGTGTTTGTTATATACTCGAACTGTGCCGTGTTGGTAATTTACTTCGACCGAGTGTTTTAAAATACAATACGTGTTTGTTACAAACTCGATATATATGTCAAATTAAACTTCGAAACTGTGTCGTGTTTGTAATTTTACATCGACCGGGTGTTTTAAAATACAGAAGGTTTTTCTTACATACACGAACTGTGCCGTGTTTGTAATTTACATCGACCTGGTGTTTTAAAATGCAGGACGTGTTTGTTACATACTCGATATATATGTCAAATTTGAAAATGTGCCGTGTTGGTAATTTAATTCGACCGGGTGTATTAAAATACAGTATGTGTTTGTTACATACTCGATTTATATTACAAAATAAAACTACGGAATGGTGCCATGTTTGTAATTTACTACGGCCTGGTGATTGCCTTAAATTGTATAAATAATATTCCTATAAACCGCAATCCGACAATACAATTGTATTCAATTGGCTTCATACACCTCGGGCATACTAGGCAGATATATCTCTCAAATCAAATCTGAATATAGATCCGCGTATATACATCCATGACACTTCAGTTCCCCAAAATCGTGAGGTATAGAAATAAACAACACAACATGAGCATTATGCTATAATGCTCTATACGGAAAATGTGGCATTTTTAATAGTGACGGCCAAAATATATTTGCTTTTATTTTAAAATAGGATTTAAAAGATACAAGCATGAATTTGATATATACAAACAAGTTCTGTTCGACATTTTAAAAATTAATGAAAATATTTCAGATATCCTGCTGTTATTTGCGCCTAAAATAAAATAAAACAATTTTAAATATGTTTGCCCCCTCCCGCCCTAAAAAGCATTTGATACTTATCATTAAAATATTGATGGCTACCAGCATGCTGTACATTAATTATAAGCAGCAACCGAATCTCTTCCTTATTATTGAATGTTAATATCATATATATCAAAATATTAAAAGTAATCTTGTAGTAAACGAATACCTGGTAGAACCTCGGCCCCCTATAAACAATAGTAAATAATATTTTCTATAAAAATAGTAATGGTTGTAGAAGAGCTTTGGTTCGGTCCCATCAAACGCGAGTGCCACTATGGAACCTCAGCACCCTATATACCCGATCCAACAATATTACAACAATATATACAAATTAACAGGTGTATTGAAATAATATATTCTATACAAATAGAAATGGTTTTAGAAGAGCTTTGGTTTCGGTCTCCTCAAACTCGAGTGCCACTATGGAACCTCAGCCCCCTATATTCCAGATCCAACAACATTACAACAATGTATACACATAAACAGGTTTATTGAAATAATATATTCTATACACAAATGGCAGCATGGATGTTCATTTCACAAGCAGGGATTTTGGTGTTTTTATAAACTAGGGAGCCAGAGAATATCCTTGTCCCAAGCATGAACGAGTGGTGCAGATAGCTGAGACACCCACATCACAGGAGAGGTAGTTCCAGGATTCCTGCGAACCATGAAACACTGAGAGTATGTGCACCGTTCTGGCTGTCCAATCCAATCAACAAAAGACAGTTCGTGGGAACAGTCCTTTGTTGTATACAGAAAGAAGTACTTTATTTAACCCACAAACTGACCCTGTGGCAGATGGCAGGAAATAACACTGGATCTCTCACGCTGGTTTTGCCGCTCCATGGAAGTGTCTCTGTGCCGCACCTCTGTTTGTCCAAAGCATCTCCTGACGTAGTGGTAGACGGTGATGTGTTGGTTGGCGAGAGGACTACTGAATAAACCCATCAGAGCATCCCGCTCCAGCTGAGGTGATGTCTTGTGTGTCCAAGGCTGCAAAAAAATGCAGGCCTGTCTGATCTGTCTCTGGTCTACTGTTTAGGGGCTCCAGGTAGCCTGCAAACTCCAACATTGCCACCAACCAATGCATCTTTTAAGAGAAAAAACAAAATCTGATTAGGAATAAATCCAATATTCAGGACACAGGTTATTGTACACATTTTATCCAGTCCTTTAAAGAAAACTTGGAAATTTATGCACTTTGAAATCACAGTGGTATTAATAATGGAATTATGTTTGTCAATGCTATGGCTAGCTATATATCTCAAGGCTATAATATATAATATTCTAAGACGTAAAGCTGTAGAAATTGAGTTCGGACACTGTAATTTTACTTTACAACAATAGCAAAACAAGTTATTTAACTCTTGTTGACCCAGATGGAAATACACAGCGGGTCTTGTGTGGGAGTAACCAAAGTAAAAGAAAAGAAAATCAGACAGGTGACCTTTAACATAATTATTATGTGTTTGATCAGGTATAAAACCATGTCCATTAATTATGGTGTATCCACTGTGGCACCGACCACCATTCTGAAGTCAAGTCGGACAAAATAAGAATAGCAATTTACCTTCATTTTCTTAACAGCGCTGAGTTCTAGGTTTCTGGCGTTGGTAATGCTATCAGATAATGTCTTGTTGAACCGTTCATAAGAGAACATCCAAAAGTTGCTTGGTGGACCATACAGTTTGACATATTGAGGCAGATGATGTAACAGATGCATCACATAGCTCTGAGATAAAAAAAAAATGACTTACTGTGAATTAATAAACAATATCTTCTCTTTGTCAAACCGTGTTTGGTAATCAATCAAATAAATCAATAATTCCAATTTATTAACATTAGCATGATGACAAAACAATATGTTGTGATATATTTTTTCAGTATGCCCCAACCAAACTAAAGTTTATATTACCC